AGGTCACCCTTGTGATGCCACACTCTCTGGATCTGATAACCACTTCCTGCTCCCAGCAAGGGTGACTTCCTTCTGCTCCTGGGTCATCCCTGAGCCTGGCTCACCTTTAGCCTCATCTGGGTGGGGCTGGGAGAGGAAGGACTCCATGAGTACCTGCCAGCAGAAGTTGAGCATGGATGGGGGGGGGGGTGTGCAGCAGGCTGTCAAGAGTGGCATTTGCTGCTGGCTCCTAGGGAGCCTTCCCTCCTGCAGAGTGCGGCCCTCCACGGTTTGCACATCCTGACTCCCTTTTCTCCCAGGAAGGTAGGGCAGGAGCTGGGTTTCCCACTGAGTAACCAGGAAAACAGAACTTTCAGGGGGCATTTTCTGTTTAATAAGGGATCAACCTGAATAGAACTCAACTCAATACCTTTCCAGGTAGGCAGGCTAAGGCCAGAGGAAGAAAAGCCGGAGTCCTGATTGACCAGGAAAGCAGTGTAGCTTCAGCCTGGGGAAAGATCACAGGTGCTGGTGTAGCCACAGTATCCATGAGCCCCACCCACACTGCCTTACTCCCCCAGCAGGAAAGCAATGGTGGAGGGTTGGACAGAAGTAAGTGGGGAGGACACCTGTGGCAGAAGAGGACAGACAGGAGGATGCTGGAGCAGTGCTCCATGTCTGCAACAGCCCTGGCTCCAAGCTGTCACCCAGGATCAATGTGCTCAAACCACTCTACTTAGGAGGTCGGTTAGACCTGGCTTCTCCTCAGCTGCTGGGGCTGGGGCTCCTTCCTTGTGCTTCCACAGGGAAAGGCCTCAGGGACAGAAAGGCCTGGGAGGCACAGCAGGAGGGTCAGTCAGGCCATCAGAACCCAGCTCTGCTTTGCAGAGCCTATTTTAGCCCTTTATTCTGGGACCGACTGACAGACTGACAGGCAGACTTGCCATCCTCATGAATCACCGCAATGCCCAGTCTGGAAGGTCCTTGTGGCCCAGAAGAAGAGGGAAGGAGCTGGAGAAGCTGCTGATGGGAACGTGAAGGCCAGCTCCTAAGAAGAGCCTCCAGAGCTGCTGGGACTAGCTGGAGCGTCTATTTTTACAGGCACACTTCCTACTTCTTTTCCAGTCCTAGGTAAAAGCTGATGTCAGGAGTCCTGGAGTTTCTTTTTCCTGAGAAGCCAGAGGCAGTGTGGCAGCAGAGTGTGTGGTTCCTAGAGGGAATCATCTTGCTGCAACAGAGCCTTGGGGCATCACTGCTCCTCAGGGCTGACCAGGAAGACTGAGGAGGATGCTCTGGCTTCCTCCCACCTCCAGCTCATTGTCTGACACACAATCTGACTAGAAGGAACTAGAGAAGAAGGAAAAAGGGCCGGGGAATTGGAAGGAAGCTGCTTGGCTTTTGCCTTTTATTTATTTATTTATTTATTTATTTATTTTATGTGCATTGATGTTTTGCCATGGTGTCCTATCCCATGGAACCAGATTCACAGACAGTTGTGAGCTGCCATATGGGTGCTGGGAGAGCAGTCAGTGCTCCTAACCACTCAGCCATCTCTCCAGCCCCAGATTTTTCTATAGAATGTTCTAGAGCACCTATAATTCAACACTCAGTAAGCTGAGGCAAGAAAGTCACTGTGAATTCAAGGCCACCTTGAGGTCTGGGCCAGCAGGGCTATGAGAGTGTGAGAGTGTAATGTCATGCTGAAAAACAAGCAAATAAACAAAACACCGGAGCTAGAGATGGCTCAGCAGTTCAGGGCAAGCTCTGCTCTTGAAGAGAACCCAAGTTCAGCTCCCAGCACCCACACTGGGTGGCTCACAACCACATGCAGCTCTAGGGGATACGGCAACAATTTCTTTTGGCTTCTGTGAGCATTTTCGCTCATATGCACATGAGAGCACACACACACACACAAACACACACACATACAAACAGACAAAACTACACACACATACACACAAACACACAACATACACACAAGCATACACACACACACACAAGTAAAAATAAATCTTGAAAAGATAAAACATTCTGAACACTAATTCTTTTGTTGTTGTTGTTGTTTTGTTTTGTTTTTGTTTTTCAAGACAGGGTTTCTCTGTGTAGCTTTGGAGCCTATTCTGGCACTCGCTCTGGAGACCAGGCTGGCCTCGAACTCATAGAGATCTGCCTGTCTCTGCCTCCTGAGTGCTGGGATTAAAGGCGTGTGCCACCAACGCCCAGCCCGAACACTAATTCTTAAGGCTTAGACTTTGGGTTCAGAACCCATGCTTGTATCCCAGCTGGCTGTCCCTCACTTCCAGTCTGAGGAAGGTATCAAACTCCCCAGCCTCAGTGTCTTCCCTTGAGAAGCAGGAGTTTTGGGGGAGCCTCCTCTCAAATGGGCCATGGCCATGGCAGAAGGCAGCTTTGACTCCTTCAGACACCAGTACTGACACCAGCTCTGGAAACTTCCACTAGAAGGTGAGAGGTCTTCGGGTTCAGGGGCTCACCTTAGGGAGACAGGACAACTCCCCAAGAGGCACAACAGGCCCATGGCGAGGTCCACAGATAAAGTTTTATTTCTCCTGAATCAGAAGAAAATAAACTTTTAGGCTGAGGAAAATGTTTTAATGTGTTTAATGTTTTAGTTGACATATTTGTCTTTCTATTGTTAAGTACAAAATCTAAGAAGCCGTTGGGAAAGCAGAATAAAAATCACAAAGGAGGTACTCACACATGTTACTCATTGCCAAACCTCACCAACCCAAAACTACCTGTTATCTAACCTGAGTGACTGGGTGTTAGCCAGTCAGTTATATCTCCAGGCTCCTATCCCTGTCCCCTTTACAGGAACGGTAACTAAAAAACAAGCACTCTGATTTTTGGGTTGTTTCTGCTCTGTCAGCCTTTCTCTGTCCTTAAATCCAAAAACTCAGGGCACTGGCACACTTGCAAGTTTAATTTGATGAAATCGAGTATGGCTACGTTCTATCATGGGAAAATAAAGCCAACTGAGATCTTGACACTTAAATTTGTTGTGACTTTGGATTCTGACAGCAGATGAGTCTGCTGTCTCCAGTGAAGTCCTCTGGGCTCCTGGCCCACACAGGAACCAATTAACTGAACCTGGAGGGGTAAGCTGCCCTGCCCTGCCCTGCCCTGATGTGGACATTGAGTCACAGGGAGAATGGGGCTGTCTGGGAGCCACAAATGGGGAATCCACAGTAACATGAGGCCCACTCATCTCCACACCAAGCACTGCCTCTCGGCCTGGTCAAAGGTGGACGGGAATAGCAGCACAAGCAGGCTACCTCCATCTTGGATATGCTGCCCTCAGAGAAGCCCCACAGAGAACACTGTGACCAAGACCACTTTCAAGGTCAACATCGCCAGCCACAGACTTGACCATGGGAAGCCTCAATGTGCTCCTGGAAACCTTGTCATGGGCTGGAGAACCAACCAAGTGAGGCTGCCACGGGGTCCTGACAGCTACTGGAGGGGAGGAGAAGTTGGGATGGGTGGTGGGGGGGTAAAGGACTCTTTGAGCCAAAGGAATTTGGGATATGTTATGAGATGGCCCCATCCTTACTGGCCCCCTCCTCAGTCCCCTTTGTCTCTGTGATTAAAACTCCATCAGGCAAAGTAGAGCCTAGCATGGTGGAACATCCCTGGCTCAATTGTTTCCCACTCAAGGCCTGGGGGAAGGGTATGAGAGTCAAAGATTGATGTGGTATGAAGACATTCCAAACTAGCTACACACAGGTGCTGAGTGGCTGAACCTCCTCAGGTACCCTTGCAGGCAAGGGCAAGAAGACCCACTGTGGAGCAGCCAAGTGTATAATTGGAGCTCCCAGAGCGCCAAGCTTCTTCTCACCTGCCTCAGGATGCTTGTGTGTGTGAAAAGGCACCACCTGGTGACAATACTAAAAACAAGGCCCCACATCGGGCAGTGGTGGCGAGCACCTTTTATTCCAGTACTCGGGAGGCAGAGGCAGGTGGATCTCTGTGAGTTCGAGGCCAGCCTGCTCTCCAGAGCGAGTTCCAGGATGGGCTCCAAAACAACACAAAAAAACCCTTTCCAGAAAAAAAAAAAAAAAAAAAAAAAAAAAAAAAAGGAAGAGGACCTTCTACCCCCACCTCAGCCCACAGCTGGCTCCATGCCAGGCGGGGCTTTAAATGTAAAAGCCTGCCCTCCTTTCCCGAGAAGTGGCCCTCCTCCTATCATCACCACGTGTCCCTGAGTTAACTGACCCCGTCAACAGTTTTCCTATCTATCTGCAGGATGATGAATCAGAGGGAGGAGCTGGAGTGTGTCTGTACTAGAAGGGCCTCCATCACTTTATCTCAGTGGCTAATGACCTACTAACTGGTCTCTGGAGACAGGTTCAGGCCAGGGTAGGGCTGAGTTATAGCTGCATTGTCCAGGGACAATGGGATGTCCAGGGAATGGCTGACCAAGGCCCTGCCAGCCTCCTCCTCACAGTTCATCTTCCCACACACTCGTTGTCTCACACTTTGTACTGTGCCTTTCTCCTGCAGTGGGTTAACAGGCTTATTCTCAGTCAGATGGGGACAGCCTGAGGTCAGGCCCTTTACTGCTGGTCCTCACACGCCCAAGTGCAGGTGTTTACAGGACCCTGGGGACCCCACCCAGGCCAATCCATCCTACCCCAAGACCCAGACATTACCGTTTGGCACTTAGAGTATGCAGGAGGAGCTTGGCCTGGGCCGAGCTGGGAGTGGGAGGCTCCCAGGACATCTGGAAGCCATCACCTGCCTCTCCCATGCATAGTAGAGATAGCAAAGTCTATTGGTTGGGCAGATGTGCGGCTAAGCTATGTTCTCAATGATGGATCTGGGAGGAGGCAGTGGTCCCTGACCACCCCCATCACCACCCCCCACCCCGACACAGACACCATCCTCTGGGGCCCACACTTAGCTTGTTCCAGAGTGTTTGGAGTTGCTGTTTGTGCTGGAATGTACCTCGGTGGTTTGTGTGGAATACAGCTGTTAAATACCCAGCTCAATTTAAAACAAACCTTATTTTCAGAATCGTGCGCCCTTCTTCTCTAATGTGGGTGCCATCTCTTAAAGGACCAGGTCCGCTAAGATCTTAGGGTGGAAGCAGAGGTGGTGGCCCATGCCTGTAATCCTAATACCTGGGACGTGGAGGAGAGAAGGTCAGAAGTTTAAGCTGTCTTTGTTGACATAGAGAATGCCAAGCCAAGCCTGGGCTTCATGAAACCCTGTGTCAAAAAGGCACAGAGTGAGGGAAACCAGCTGGGCAACCACTGTCCTTTGTCACCTCCCAGGGAATGTGGAGGTGACAGGGTATAAAAGAGAGGCAGGGAAGAAGGACTCAGAAGGCTTGTTGCCAAGGAAGCCATCCCCCCTGAACACCAAGAAGGCAGCGTCCACCCTGGAGTAGTGGGGCTGGGTTTCTTAGCAGGGCCCAAAACAGGCCCAGGACCTGCACAGGATTTCCAGATCCCCAGGGTCCTCTGCCTTAGTCTCCCTCCGTTTCCTAGATTCTAGGAAGATCCAGGGGATAGCAGTGGCCGAGCTCCAAACAGAGGTGTACTCACCCAGCGACTCTGGTCAGCTCATCCCCTGAGGCTGATCAATCACACAAAGCTGGTTGAAGTTTCTGAGTTTGTGTGACCATAGGGGGATGAGGAGAGGAGGTTGAGGGAGCTGGCAAGCCCCAAAGGTCACATAGGCCTGAGCCTCACAAAACGTCAGGAAATGAAGCTGAGCCACAGAACCAACACAGAGGGACGGACGGCCTGGGGCTATTGAGGAAAAATAGGGAGTAGCTGGCTGAAGCCCAGATCCTGGCCTCTCTGCATAGCCCTAGGCTTTGGCCTTTTCCTGTCTGAGCACTTTTGGCTGACCTGCCTCCAAGCTGGACCACCACTGGCCAGCTCTCATGAGCTCCAGGAGTTGTATGCTGTGACTATCCAGGAGCAAGCCTGCTCCGCGGTGGAGACGTTCAGACCCAGAAAAGCTCTGGGGAGAATTAGTAGCAAGACTGTGAGGACACATTCTGAGGTTGTATCCTCAGCCTGGGAAGCAGGGCTGAGGGGACAGCTGTAGATGAGCAGTCAGCATTGCAGGTGAGTCACAGGGGACAGACTGAGCTCAAAGAGAGTGGGGGCTGATCTAAGAGAATGTGAAGAAGGGACCCTGTGAACCCAGGGTGGAGGGGAGAGGTTGCAGAAAAAAACAGGGATATTACCATCCTCCTCCCATGATGGTCTCTCTATGCACCGCCCCGCCTGCAAATACTAGAGCATCAAAAAACAGCAGTGGTGGCTGGGCCTGATGGGACTGTCCTGTGGGATGGGTGGGCCTTAAAGAGCAGGGGAAGGGAAAGGCGAGGGGGAGTGGAAAAGGACGGGAGTTTTGGGCTCCTGTAGTAAGGACAAGGAGAGCTGCTAAGGCAACCCTACCTTCAGAAACACACGCAGACCATGCCCTCACCAGGTGACACCAGGGACGTGGACACCACCCTCCCACTAGTGCCTGGACCCAGCCTAGGCTAGGAGAGTGGGGGAGCACACAGTTTTCATTCAGGACCCCAGAACAGAGGGGTAAACCATTTTTTCCCAGCCTCAGATAGATCTGCACAAAGTGGGCATGCCTGCAGGACACTTGCCAAGCCCCAGAACCATAGATGGTGGGTGCCACGTGGATGGTCTGAAAACACCCCAAGCCGCTGTTGTGTCGGCCACCTCTTAAGTGTGTTTCCTAGACGCTTTCTCACAGTTCCGAAAGGCTGGCTCCTTGGTGATGTCCCAGGGAGCCCCAGACACCAAGAGGCCAGCACTGGTTAATAGACCCCTTTTTTATTTCAGCTTCATCAGCTAAAAGTGATTTCACACAAAATAATGTGTCAGAGATAATTGCTCCTGGGAACAGATCCCAATTCCAGCCCGCAATCAAAGGTAAACGTGCCCATTAATGATTAAGCCTCTACCCAAGGAACAGAGCTCTGGAGCAGCCCAGAAAGGAGACCCCTCCCCCAGGGGCCTGGCAGGGGCCCAGGCAGCCCTGCCTAACAGGAACTGGTTCCTGCCCAATGGGAATAGGGGACGATCCTCCATTGAGGGAAAGCCAAACATTGTCTGATTCCAGCACCCTAGACGAGGGAAAACAGGTTTTTCTTTGTCTTTTGTAGAGCAGGTCATGGCTGCCACTGGGTTTGCACCCACCTGAGGTCAGGATGAAGGTTCCGGAAGCAGAGAGACAGGTCCTGCTGCTACAATCCTCCCCTGCACTAAAGGGCCTCCTCAAGAAAGGTCTCTGAGTGCAGAAAGGGCTTGAGACATAAGGAAACCTGTACCTGGTAACAGAAAACAAATGTGAGAGCTGGGTGTGGTGCACACCTGTAATCCCAGTACTGGAGCGGCAGAAACAGCAGGAGAATCCAAAGCTCAAGGGCACCCATCCATCACTGCCCACATAAGGATATGGCCAGGATAGGTTACCGAGAGGGAAGAGAAACAAGGCAGGGAAGGGAGGAGGAAATTCGGGGGTGGGTGGCTTAAATGGTAGGAGGATGTCCCCCACTATAATCAAGAGTGTGAAGGCAGAAAGGTCTGGGCTTCTGCAGCAGCAATTCTGATATTTGATAGGTGTACATTTGTACCCCAGGCTGGCCTGGAACTCCCTAAGTGGCTGAGGGTGACCTTGAACTTCTGATCCTACTGCCTTCATCTTCCCAGTGCTGGGATTAAAGTTGTGTTCCCCATGCTAGGTGGTGCTGCGCTGGGGACCAAGCACAGCGTTGTATCCTGGGCAAGTGTCCTAACAAGTGAGCTACCACCTCAGCTCTGTCGTGTTTAGTTGTTTTTTAATATTTATTTTTATTTTATGCATATGTGTGTGTGCTCAAGTACATGTATGTGCACATATGTGTTCAGGAGCCCTCAGAGTTCAGAAGAGGCAGGGACCCTCCTAGAACTGGAGTTACGGAGGGTTGTGAGCCACCTGTGGGTCCTAAGGGACAGAGCCTGGGTCCTCCAGGTAAGTACTTTTAACCTTTTAGCATCTCTCCAGCCCCCACTGTCTTGTTTTCTTTGAGAAAAGCTCTCACTCTGAAACCATGCTGGCCTGGAACTCACCGTGTAGAGCGGGCAAATTTTGACGATCTTCCTATGAATGTCTCCTGAGGTCAGGGGTTACAGGCATGAGCCTTTTAACTATAAAAGACTTTGTCATGTGATGTCACTTAGCCTCAGTTTCTTCATCTGTAACTTGGGGACAGGATTATTGACCTCAAGGTCATAAGGAGGCCTAAATGTGGTGATGCACATAAAAGCTTTAGTAGATGCAGCCTTGTTTCTAGTAGACACTCGGAAAACTGCAATAACTTTGTATCACAATTGTGACAGGGAGGTCTGGTGCTTTACAAGACCCTTTTCCAGTCTTAACCTCCTGCCACATCTTGGTATTTGTTTGTAGGTTGACAGCAGATAGGATTCATGGTCAGTATTAGGGGCTGACTGCAAAGAACGGAAACCATAACCTTGTCAGGGTACAAGTACACTGTCTTCATAAATAACAGGTCTACCAACATATAGCACACATGCCACAAAACACATTCCTTTATTACTTATTACTTATTTTATTTTTTTGGGGGGGGGGGTTCAAGACAGGGTTTCTCTGTGGCTTTGGAGGCTGTCCGGGAACTAGCTCTTGTATACCAGGTTGGTCCCGAACTCACACAGATCCGCCTGCCTCTGCCTCCCGGGCGCTGGGATCAAAGGTGTGCGCCACCAACGCCCGGCTTATTATTCTTTTTAAATGATAATATCTTTATTAGTCATTCATTGCTTTTGGTTTTTAGAGAAAGGTCTTTTTGTTTTTGTTTTTCAAGACAGGATGCATAATATGCCACCATGCATACATTTGAGGATTCCTTATTTTGATTATGGGGATAAAGCCAGGACTTCAAGTATGCTGAGCACACATTCTATCACTAAGCTGTCTCCCCAGTCCCAAAAATGTGCCCAAAGTGTCTAACGGGGTCATTTTTATTATATTCACCATGTTGCTGTAATTATCTATCACCACTCCCTAACCCCATCATTTTCATCACTGGCAAAAGCAATTCCACACTTATCAGCACTCATCCCATGCCCTCGATACACAGTCCTTAGCAATTGCTAACCTATTTTCTGTCTCTGTGAATTTGTCTTTTCCGGATAATTCATATAAATGGTGTTATATAAACTATGGGAGTTTTGCTTCTGTCTGACAAAATGGTTTTTTTTTTGTTTTTGTTTTTTTTTCTCCCCTGAAACAGAATCTCTGTGTAGCCTCGGTTGTCCTGGAACTCCATCTGTAGACCAGGCTGGCAGTGAACCCACAGCAATCTGCGTGTCTCTGTCTCCCAAGTGCTGGGATTAAAAGTGTGTGCCACCACTGCCTGGCTCTTTTGTTTTGTTTTGTTTCTGAGGCAGGGTCTCTCTTTGTAGCCCTGCCTGGCCTGGAACAACCCGGACTGGCCTTGACCTCAGAGAGATCTTCCTGCCCCTGCCTCCTGCTAGGAGTGCTAGGATCAAAAGTGTGTGCCGCCACGCCTGGCCAAAAGCCAATTCCAGAAAGTCAGTTCTCTCCTTCCACAGAGGTCACTAGAGATTTAACTCAGGGAGTCAGACTAGGCAGCAGACATCTTGACCCCTCAGCCCTTTCACTGGCCCATAGATTTCATTACAACATTTTCATAATGCTTTGTTTTTGTTGATCATTCCCGCTGCATCCTCCAACCCTGAAGTAAGTATAAGTAAATACTAAAGGTCGAAGGGCAGCATGTATTTGCTAAATTTCTACTGAATCAGAGTGTACATTGAGAAAAGGGCTCACCATGGAGTTCCCTAACATGCTTGTCTCGGATTCCTCCTGGACAAGTGCTAGGAGCCCCAGAAGTTCGTTTTTCCGTCGTGTACTGGCAGAAAAGAGCTGGTAGAGAGTTTCCAAGACGGGCTGTGCGTCTGAAAGCATCTTTTCCCTAAGTAAAGTCTGAACATCCAAGGTGTAGTCTGTGCTAGAGAACTGACATACCTGAGCTGTGGCCCTGGCTTCCAATAGGGTCTGCCCACCCTCAGGTCTCAAGCAGGGCAATGACCCTCACTGTGAAAGAGAACACCTGGGTCTTATAGAAGATCTTGTGGCCTAGCTGGGCTGCATTATTTGTGACCACTGCAGTATAAGTGTGGATCTGGCTGCTGTAATCAATGGCTCATCTGATGACCCCAGAGTTGCACTCAGGGGTAAGACGCTACCCATCTTCCATAAAATCTGAAGCCTAGCCGGTGGGGCTTTCATGTCCAAGTGTCCATCTGCTTCCACTTAGCCAATTCTGTTCAAGAGGGGTCGAGAGGTACCACTGTAGAGGCGAAGTTAAACTGAACCCTTCCTGGGGGAGAGAGGAGGCAAATTGTTGTGAAAGGATTGGGTGTCGGGCTACATGGAGGGTAGAGATAGATGACCAGCAGTCGAGTTGGAGGGGAAAGTCAGGAAGGCTTAGGTGGGTCATTTGGTGACCCCGTTCCATTTGCGTCCTGGAAAAGGTGTCAGGTGCACACACTCTCCTTATTGTTCATATAATGGTTGACTTGCAGTCCAGATCACAAGATCAGAGATGAAGGAGTGGCTGAGAGAGAGAGAGAGGAAGCCGTAACAGGGAAAAAACAGCGGCATGCATGGCTGTGGAGCTGGAGCCCACAGGAAGGAAGTGTGGCGGACAGGAGGGGCTACTATACTCAAGAAGGGGAGCCAGGAGCCCGTGCCACAGCTCTGGAGGGCAGGCCAACACTGGCCACACCCATGAAGGCTGAGTCCCAGTCCAGAAACGCTAGACACCCACACAGACCCCAGGATACTAGGGAGCAAGACCTTCAGCCTGGAGCCCCCACGTCCCCAGCATCCAGGAAGGTGTGTGCCAGGAGCTCTTGAGGGTTCCTTCCACACACAGCCCACACCCTCTCCCTGCACCAGAGGGACAGCTGCTCTTGTACCTGTCCCTGAGGCTTTTTCGCCAGGAGGAACTCAGAACCCCACATCTAACCTCTAGAGCAGGAAGAACGGCTGGTGGACAGCTGCAAACATAATACAGGAACAGCTACAGCTACCACAGGGTCTCCTGCAGCTGCCCTGCACACACCTGAGGACTTTGCTTCATTAATAGCTGATCCCTCTGACCAGCTAGTGCCCAGGGGGCCATTGTCAGTGTTCAGGCGTCTGTACTGGTCTGCCCTTGGGGCTCTGATAAGATACGTCTTCAGCTGCAGCCACTAAGAGCACCGCCTGTGTCTATTCACTACGGTCCCTTTTAAAAGGACCCTGCCCACCTCCCATCTCCTTTCTCTCCCTCTCCCTTTTCCCTCCCTCCCCCCTCCCTCCCTCTCTCCCTCTCCCACTTCTCTGCCTCTCTGCCATCCCCCCTGCCTCTTCTGCTGCACCTGTCCCCCTTTGCCCATTCCCTCCCCCCCAACACCTTCATGTGAGCTCTATCAAAAGGGGCAAGGCATACTCAGGAAGAATGATGGGAGGGCCTGCCTGCCTAACAGGTAGTCAGAGCCCAGTCACAAGCACGAGGTGGGTAAGCTAGGAAGTCCAACCATGCCTGACAAGAAGGGCAGACTACTGGGTAGAGGGTGACCAAGAACTGGGGCACAAAAGGTGATGTGGCCCGGAGGGGTGGGACAGGATTTGGTGGGCAGAGTTCAACAAGGCGAATGTCAGAGGTTCTGAGTGGTAAAGTTACTCGACGGCGTTCTGTACCAACTGAACAACTCTGGCCAGCTCTCATTTGGCCAGGTCCCTGGGGATGGGTTGGAGCAGGCATGGGGTAGGTTAAGGACCAACCAGATTCCATCCACAGGGGTCAGAGGACCAATTTGATGTCCCACATACTTGCCTCTGGCCATCCTGTCTATCTGACCAGGCCAGACCAAGTGGCAGGAGGCAGGGCAGGTAGAGCCTTAGAAGTTTAGACAAAGTGCAGCCTCGTGCTGTGAACTGTTCTTCTCCTGAACTTCAGGGATTGAAAGTGGAAACAAAGAGCCAGGAAGGAGCAGAAAGAAGGTCAGACCTTATCCCGATGGCGATCAGAAGCCAGAGGGTTTCAGCATGGTCTAATCTGATTTGGGTTTGGAGGACACTGTGTGGACATTCGGGAAGAGTGGAACCCAGACAGGAAACCCAGTGAATGACACCAGTGTACAGGAAGAGGGCATACGGACCTAAGCCTGGCAAAAACTACGGTGATGCTGCATAGAGCTAGGATCCAAGGAAAGCTGAGACCTAGCATGCACCTCAGGACACACACCACGACTCTGGGGATGGGACACACCACCATGCCCCCCATGCTTTCCAGAGATGCTCACCTAAAGCAATGGTGCTGGACTTCCTAGAAGCCATTTGTGGAGGCACCCTCTGTGGCCTGGTGCCCAGGCTGCTTCAGTCACCTAGACAGCTGAGCTCCACATGAAGCCAGCTGCAGGTCACGCAGCTGTGATCCCAGGATGCCTCCCCTGCGGGCCTGGAATCTCACCTGCAGCTGTAGCTTCCTGGAGCCTTCCAGAAACCCAGATGTTTAATTTGTGATTAAACCAAAGCCTGGTTTAAAGGGTCGTGCATGGCTTGCTGCCTGCTGACACTTCTCTCCCTGTGTCATTGATCCAGCCCCTTGGACTCCCTGGGTCTTGGCTTCCCCATCTACAGGATGAGAGGGAGATGGCAGGTCTCTGAGGTCCTTCCTCAGCCTCACTCCCACACACTGCTGAGTACTGAGACCTTGAAGTTTATTAGAGGTACAGATAAGGGGAGGGGAGTACACATGACAGTAGGGAGTGGAGGAGGTCAGGTGAGGGCATCAAAGTGGACCCACGGGATCGGAGAGATGGCTCCGTGGGAGGGAGTTTTTGGCTGCTTGTGCTGGCTACTGTATGCCAACCGGGCAAGAGCTATAGTCACCAGAGAGCAAGGAACTCATTGAGAAAATGCTCCCACCAGACTGACCTGCGGACAAGTCTGTGGGGCATTTTCTCCATTGATGGTTGATGTGGGAGGGCACGCCCCACTGTGGGTGGTCCTGAGTGCTACAAGAAAGCAGGCTGGGTGAGCAATGAGAAGAAAGCCACAAGTACAACTCCTCCACGGCCTCTGCTTCAGGTCCTTGAGTTCCTGTCCTGACTTCCCACAGTGACAGACTTGTCACCTGAACGCTTTAAGCTGAAATAAACCCTTTCTTCCTCAATTTGCTTTTGGTCGAGGTATTTAATTGCAGTGGCAAAAATCTACCTAAGAGGCTGTTTAAACGTGAAGGCCTGAGTTCAGATCTTAGTACCCATGTGAAAAGAGTGCCGGTGGCTGCATGCACACCTGGGAACAGAAACAAGAGGATCTCGGGAGCAGATTGGCTGAAGGCCTGGCTCGGGGTCCAGTAAGAAAACCTGCCTCAAAGGAATAAGGCAAAAACAAAACAAACAAAAAGAGCCAATAGAGTAGGATGGTACTCAATATTCTCCTCTGGATGCTGCCAGTGCACACGAAAGCACATGCGAGCGTGCACGCGCACACACAGACACACAGACACACACACACACACACACACACACACACACACACACACACGCTTGAAGGGTCTGATAGTACAGAACTGAAGCTGCTACAACCTCCTCCTCTCCTCTCCCCCAGGCGCTGTGTGGCTGATTGAATCAAGTTGTCATTAGTAGCAGCTACCCATAGGTGTTAGGTACCGAGGCCTGACATGCTGCAGCCTGCTGCCTGGCACTAGTCTCCTTGTCCTCCATCTACGAATGAAGTGACTGAGACTTGGAGTGGTGTCAGTCACTGCCAGTGAGTAATCAGGGGATGTAGGAGTGTGGGCCCTGAGGGGTCGGGTGGGTGAGGTGTGGAAAATCCCTCCCTGCAGCCTTTGGCAGCTGGCTTTCCCCGCCGCCGCCGTGACTTGCCTCTCACCCTAAGAGGGTTGCCCTGGCCCATACCCTCCCTCCAGCCAGTGCTGTTTGGAGTAGGAAGTATAGACCTAGGTAGCCCAGGAACAGCTACTTAGGAAAGGGAGAGCTTGAGGCGGACCTTGAAGCCAAGTTGATAATAAAGGGAACAGATAGGAAGACGACAAAAGCTGGGGATGGGCATCGAGGATGTGACAGGGGGACACTTGGAATAGGCAAGACCAGCCCTGGTAGCCGGAATAGAGGCCGGTGGGACCAGAAGCCAAGGCCAGGGAGAAGCCTGGCACAGATTCCTCCCCAGTCTGCCTTCCTTGGGACTCTCCATGTGACTCTGAGGCAGCTCCCGGGCGGGGATGGAGCTGGGCAGGGGTGGGTATTGAGGGAAAGAGACCCAAGCTGCACTTCCTTTGCCCCTGGAACTACCCTTCCTGGGGCTGTGGGGT